GGTCTCTCCTGCCCGGGCTGGCTTTGAACCGCGATCCTCAGATCTCAGCCTCCTGAGTAGCTAGGATTACAGGCGTGAGCCACCAGCGCCCGGCCCTTTCATGATTTCTGACAGATGAGTGTCCTGTCTTTGCTAGGTTTGTTTTACAGTATTAAGAAAGGGGTGGAGTAGGTAGGTAGCAAGAAGGTAGCAGCTAGTCCTAGAATGAGAGTTGTTGTAGGGTATAGGCTAACATCTAGAGTTGTATGACTCCAGCTTATCCAGATCTCAGCATCCAGAACCATTCGGGGTGTCAGAATAAGTTACCTGGTGTACATGTAAAAATCCAACGTATTTTGTAATCCTTGTTTACCTTACAGAAAACAATTTTCTTAGTTTCTTTTAAGAGTACAATAAATTCCACTGAAGCTTTAAAAGGGTGGGTACAAATTACTAAAAACTACCCTACGTATACCTATAAAGGAAGCAATACTTTGTAATCAGGACCCTTAGCTGAATTACATTTGTTTAACATGAAGTATTTTGGGGGGAATAGGGTTAGTATTAAGAGTATTAACCATTATTGGTAGGGAAAAACAAGTTTTTGATTTATTTTAAACATGTATCATACTAAAATCTCAGAATGTTCTTTCTTCAAGGCAAAATTGGGTTAAAATTGATTTTTCTATAGATATTTAAAACTAATGGAAATTAACTTACCATAAAATCCCCCCTTTGTAAGAAGACAGTTCAGTGTTTTTTGGGGGATGTTCATTGGTTGTACAGTTGTCATCTCAGATACTCCTTATCCATTAGTAATAATTACTGGCAGTCATACTCTATTTCTGTCTCCATGGATTTGCCTATTCTGGACATTAATTGGTATAATTCTTAGCTTTTTTGTGGAACTCAATTAGATGATTTTTTTATAGGATGTGATTGTATATGGAATGACTTTGTACTGCAGTCATTGTGTTCTGGTTGTTGGTGGAGATAGCTCTCTTGGAAGTACTGCTCCTAATAGTGTTTTTTCTCTTTCCTAGCTTACCAAGAGGTTGCAAGGACACCCTAATAGGTAAGATGTTTAGGTGACTGAATTTACTTGTTTTTGAGACAGGGTCTCATTTTGTATACAAGCTTGCCTTGGACTCACTTTCTGGCTTAGGCGCTGTCCCAGGTGCTGAGGTTACAGACTTCAGGCAGGTCTGTGCTATGACTGTCAGCTAAAGTAAACTAGAAAGTAAGCTAGAGGTGATTGTTAAAACTAGGAGTGTCTAAAGTATTCAGCATTATTCACATCATTTTATGTTGAATAATTTTAATCATAAAGAATTTTACTGTAGCTTTTTTTAAAAGTTCCCATGTAGAGCCAAGCGCCAGTGTCTCACACCTGTAATCCTAGCTGGCTGTAATCCTACGAGGCTGGGATCTGAGGATTGTGGGTTAAAGTAGTGAAGTAGCTGTAAGTGAACCGTGATGTAGTGAGGGACAACTATATAATGCTGCTACTTTGTGGATTTTCACCTGTCGGGGGTGGTCTCTGGAACATAACTCCTGCGATAGGTGAGGTATTGCTGTATTTCATTTATTTAATGAGTCAGTTTTATTAACAACTCAGTCTTTTTTCTTTTTTTCTCTTTCTGGCCAGTCCTGGGGCTTGAATTCGGCCTGGGTGCTGACCCTGAGCTGCTTTTGTTGCTCAAGGCTAGCACTCTACCACTTGAACCACAGTGCTACTACTGGCCTTTCTGTTTATGTGGTACTGAGGAATCAAACCCAGGGCTTCATACATGGTAGGCAAGCACTCTACCACTAAACTACCTTCCCAGTCGGTATTCAGTCTTTTTATGAGGACTGCTCAGTGGCAGAGCAGTTAACTTATTATGTGTGAGGTCTTGGACTCAATGTGTCCCTAATAGCCCTTCAGTTTTAGGTAAAACACTACAAATAACTGGTCTTTTTACTAGATACCCATTTCCATTTCCTGGGATACTTTGGTTTTTGAGACAGGTTCTGGAACTGCATGTGACCTACTCTTCCAAGTGCTCTTATTCAGGCTTCTGCAGCTGAGCCATCTTTTTTATAATTTGATTAATTCTGTTAGCCTTATGGGCTCATAAAGGTAAAGAATTAATTAGGATTGGCTCCATACAATTTTGATAGCACACAATTTTGGTCTCAATATTCTCTTTATGGTTGGTGTAAGAGCTTTGGCTATTTATTATTAATAGCCGGTAGATGCTGGCTTCAAATATGAACATAAGATTGAAAATCAGTTGAGCTCAATTGGGATAAGGATTACTGAACTAGCATTAGTTGTGAAGTCAATAGAGGTTTCATTCTTGAATTGTTTGAGGGAGAGATTTTTTTTGTCCTGCTTTCTAGTTCACTACATGCTCTCACATCCTTAAAGATTAGTGTTTTACAGATAGACTCAGAACTGAAATACACCGAAGTAATTTATTGTGGTCATCTTCAAAGAACACATTATATAGATCTCACTTACCCTTCTGGAGTTAAAACTTATTATAATGTTGCATTTTGTTGTATATAGTTTTGAAGTTAATGCATATTAGTTTACTTGGATTTCTTCTTTTCCAGTGCTGTGTTAATGGTTCAGTGGCTGAAATGTGTGTTAACAGTTCATGCATCATACTTATCTACGGTACGTCTTCCTGAAGACCAGTAGTCATATAATGTACATGACTCATAACTCACCTCTTCTCCTTCATTCACTATACTCTTTTTAAAGACTTTTCCCTAGGAATTGGCAAGCACCCTTTCATACTACCACTGTTGTGCAAAAATTAAGTAGGCTTCACTCGCCCTCCCCCCCAACCCCCCCGCTTCTGGATTTACAAGAAGAGTTGCATAGATTAACATAGTAGCCTTCAGGTAGTTTTTGTTTTTTTTTTCAAATTGTGAAAATACTGTACCAGAGGGGTTACAATTACATGGGCAAGGTAATGAATTGACCCATTTCAGGCAGTTTTTTTTAATACACACCACCTTTTCTGAAAGATTTTTATATTTTTTGGTGACACACACATTTATATATATTGTACAAGGGGTTTCATTGTGATAGTGCCATTAAGTGTATCAAATTGTTTCTGTACTCTATATCTTTACCTAGCCTTAACCCCCCTCCCCCCCGGTTGTGGTGCTTGAACTCTGGGCCTGGGGTTGTTCCTGAATTGTTCAGCTCAAGGCAAGCACTCTACCACTTTGAGCCTCAGTGCCAGTTCTGGTTTTCTGGTGGTAAATTGGAGATAAGAGTCTCATGTACCTTCCTGCCTGGGCTAGTTTTGAACTGTGATCCTCAGTTCTCAGCCTCCTGAGTAGCTGGGCACCTGGCTCTTTTTTTTTTTTTAACGACCTAGTGTTCTATCACTTGTACCACACCTCTATAATTTTGGCTTTTTGGGTAATTAATTGGAGATAAGACTCACTGGAATTTACTGCCTAGGCTAATTGTGATCCTCAGATTCCCGTTTTGTAAGTAGGATTGTAGACATAAGGAATAAGCTACCAGCACTGAGCTTTGGGTTTTTTTGGGGGGGGTCCGGTCATGGGGCTTGAACTCTGGGCCTGGGTGCTGTCCCTCAGCTCTTCAGCTCAAAGCTAGCGCTCTACCACTTGAGCCACAGCGCCACTTCTGGCTTTTCTTTTTGCTTATGTGGTGCTGAGGAATTGAACCCAGGGCCTCAGGCATGCAAGGCAAGCGGTCTACCACTGAGCCACCTTCCCAGCCCCTGGGTTTTTTTTTAAGACGAATTTCATGTAGCCAATGCTGGTCTTGAACTCAGCTGTCTGAGTACTGGGGTTCAGCAAGGGTTTCTTATTTATTCCTGGCTATGATTTGGGGCATTTGTTGTCAGTTGCCTTATGCTGGAAAATAAAATGAGATAATTTTTTTTATTTGATTAGTACTTTATAGGAAAATTTCCTAAAAAATCAGCAGGTGTTTGAATAAAATTACTTGCCTTTTTTTTTTTTTTAAATCGGTCATGGTGTTTGAACTCGGGTCTGGGTACTGTCCCTCAGCTCCTCAGCACTTCAGCCACATTGCCAGTTTGGTTTTCTGGTGGTTAATTAGAGATGAGTCTCCACGGACATTCTTGGCCGGGCTAGCTTTGAACTGTGATCCTCAGAGCTTAGCCTCCTGAGTAGCTAGACAGGCATGAGCCACCAGCACCCAGACCCTACTTACGTTTTGAATTGTACATCTTAAACTGTTTTTTCTAACTCTTGGTTACTCTCCCTGTTTTATGCCATCTAACTATACCAGCACCCAGCCCCTACTTACCTTTTGAACTGTACATCTTTTTTTTTTTTTTTTTTTCAGGTAAGGGGTAGGTTTATTCAGTAGACCTGCTGGGACCAGGCAAGGTTGGCACTCCACGTGGCTGGGAAAGGAAAGAGGAAAGAGAGAGAAAAGAGCTAGAAAAGAGAAAGAGAGCAGAGAGCTAGAAACAGAGAGAGCTAGAAACAGAGAGCTGAACTGTACATCTTAAACTGGTTTTTCTAACTCTTGGTTACTCTCCCTTTTTTATGCCATCTAACTATTTTTGCTTCAGTGGTTTTAAAGGGAAAGCGTATGGATAAGGTGCTTTTTGGCCAGCAGTTTGTTCTTTGTGTGCCTCAGTAGAACTCTGCTTTATTGTCAGGAATGGGGATAGAGAAGCAACAATTAGAATGGGTTGAGTCTCCCAGCTAGTAGTAGTCTTTAGAGATGAATTGACAATCAGCAACAGGAAGCCAAAAGTTAACCATCTGAGCCAGGTGCCAGTGGTTCATATCTGTAATCCTAGCTACTTAGGAGGCTGAGGTCTGAGGATCATGGTTCAATACCAGCACAGGCCAGTAAGAGTGTGAAATTCTTAGCTCCAGTTAACCACCAAAAAAGCTGTAAGTGGACCTGTGCCTCAATGGGTAGAACACTAGACTTGAGCAAAAAAGTTAAGAGTGCCCTGGCCCTTAGTTCAACCCTAGCACCAGCACCCCTCCCCAAGACAAGTGAACATCTTTCCTTAGGACTCTGGTTTGAGGGATGGGTGGTCACAGTTGTTTGTCAAGAAAGAAGGGGTCCAGAAGGTGTTACAGTGAAAGCTCTTCTGGAATTAACTTCTAAGGTGAAATTACTACCGTAGAAGTTGTGTAATGCTTAAGGCTATATGTGGAATAAAGAGGTCTTAGAGGTGTTGTACAGAGGGATTACAAGTCCCATGATGAGTACATCTCCTTTCATATGGTGTCTATGCTTTGCTCGCTTTATCCCAGACCCTTCCTCTCATGAGTTGTATAGTTCACTTTCATCAATGTCCAGTGAGTTCCATTGCTGCACTTTTTCACTTTTTCCTTCAAATTCTATATCCTCCCCCAACCCTTCTGAAGATGTACAATTGAATATACCATACATGAGGTAAAGACAGAAGCAGCAAGAACTAAAAACAAAACAAAAAAGGCCTCTTGTATCCATGTCTTGAAGTTTATTTCTGTTTGTGGAGCCTTCATGTTTCTCTCCTAAGAGTATCCTCTTTTGGTCACACTGCATAGCTAGAATCCTATATGAATTGTCATATCCCAGTGTATTTTATATCTAATGTTTGCATATCAGAACACGTGCTATTTGTCTCTATGAGTTTGGCTTACCTCACGTAACATGATTGTTATAGTTTGATCCATTTCCCTGCCAATGACGTTTTTCTTTCTAATGGCTTTGTAAGATTCCATTGTGTATAGGTACCACATTTTTTGGATCCATTTATCTATTGTGAGGTATTTGGGCTCTTTCCTATCTTGGCTATTGTGAATAGTACGGCAATGAGCATGGATGTACAGGTGTAGATCTTTAGGGTAGATTCCCAGGTGTGAAATACCTCTTAGCTTTTTTTTTTTTTTTAATTATGAAAATACTGTAAAGAGGGGTTATAATTACATGGGCAAGATAATGAGTACATTTCTTGCCAAGTATTGTAGCCTCCTCCTTTGTTTCCCCTTCCCATCCTTCCCACGCTCTCCCACCCAATCCTCCCTCCCCCTTAGCTTTTGATAAAAGTCTCTGCTTATGAATATTAACATTAAATCAAATGCTATTTCTTATTCAGATGTCAGAAATAGGAAGGAAAGTAAAGCCTAAAAGGTAGAGAATATAGGATCTCTTTTCCTAAAGCTATACAGGGTCAGATAATAGATTTCCCTTAATTTCTTCACTGTCTCATAGGATGCATTAACAAAGGATTCTTAAAATGCTACGTGGGTCAACTTAGTCATCAGTTGTCTGTTCTGTGTTCAGAATTTCAGGCAAAAGCTCCAAGGTCTTAAAATAATGCTAGATAAAATCTTGTAATTGGAGACTAGGAAGCGAGAAAAGCCCCTTTTGCTGAAATATGTGGTGAGGTTATTAAGTTGTTTTCCTTGCCAGGACAGTGAAGCCCTCTGTAAAAGTATATTATGGGGTGTTGTTGTGCTAGAAGTGGTCACTGCCTCAGAAATACTTGTGAGTGATGTATGTATGGAGGCTAGCAAACACATAGCATCTTGGTATGGAATATGTTACTCATATGAAATGGTCATTTTTTTTCTAGTTACCTGATCTCGTACACCAGCTGGGGACACTCTATCAGCTAATGGAAAGCAGAGTCAAAACTTTTCAGAAACTCTCTCATCTTCATGGCAAACTTATTCTGCTAATCACACAAGTGAGTTAATCAGTTGTCTTGGGCTATAAAATGTTTGGAAGTAAGGAATGAAAAGCGGGAGGAATAAGGATAGTTTTCCTGAACACTGAGAACTGCCTTGATCAGTAAGAAATTGCTAAGTTAGAATCCTGTGTCTTAATTTTAGAATTCTAGAAATGTACACTAGTCACCTTAGGTAGCTTTCAGTTTTTACAGAGTAAATCTTTTCTTGAATATGAGGGACACCCCTCCCCCCACGCCCTGGTCAGCCTTGCACTTGGATCCTGCTATGCATGCCTTGCAGTAGCTGGATGACAGGTGTGTACAAACACCACCAGCTTAACTGAAGTGGAGTCTTGGTCATTTTTACCTAGATTGGCCTCTTCTTAATCTGCCTCCAGTTAGCTAGGATTACAGGTGTGAGTTGTAACCAGCCTTGAATTTTTTGCTGTGCCTTTTTTCAACTCATATTCAAGCCATCTATTACAGCGGGGTGGGGGGGGGTGGAGGGGGATGTCAGGTCGGTAGATCTTTGCAGAAATAGCCATGGTGGTAGTATGATACTTGAGATACAGTTTTATGCCCTGCTTCATAGTTCTCCTGTCTTTCAGGTTACAGCATCAGAGAGAACAAAGAAAATGGCCTCTCCTGAACAGAAGGCAAAATTGGTGTATGAAGAAGGTAAAGGTGTAGGTTGGGAGGATAGGATCTAAAACTGGATGGTTTGTCATTGTTTGTAAAAGCATCAATGTAAGATCTTGCTTTGGCACACCTCTAATAAAACATTCTCAACTGTTGCAGCAACTTTAAAATGAGGAAAGAAAAGATGCAAGTATGATATGCTAATGAAAAAAGCCTTAGGTATTGAAAAGATCAAATAGAACCCCAAACAGGAACTTTTATGTATCAGTAGACTTAAGAACCAGATGTGGCTATATCTGTTATACATTTGGGAATTTGAGGTTGGAAGATTGCTTCCTGAGGTTATCTATCGTAATCAAAAACTCAAGACCTTATTTGAAAATTGTAACAAAAGTTTGGAAGTAATAGCTCAAGTGGTAGAGGAATTTTCCCCAGTACTTCAAAAACAAGAAACAGCAGGAAAAATCCCGAAGTGATATTTGGTTAATCTGTTAGGAAACTAATTCACTTAAAGCCACTAAGTATAAAGTCTGCTTAATCAGAACACCAGGTCTAGAGGTTTTATAGATGGTTTTCTCAAGCCTTTAGGGAACAAATCAGATTTGTTGGGCTAGAGGCAAAGTTCAGTACTGAGTTTAACACCCAGTACCACCCCTAAATTTAATATTTTATGTGCAAACAAAGCATTTTTTAAAATGTTAACTGTAACCTTATTTAAGAGTTAACATGAGACAGGCACAGGCAAGAAAAGAACATTTTGCGTTGGTTTGTAATGTGTTAAAAATCAAGTAACATTTGAGACTGTCTTCTAAGTATTAAGTCTATTATATGTGTTTAAATAAAATAACATGCCACTGCGGGACGTCGGTGGCTCATGCCTGTATTCCTAGCTACTCAGGAGGCTGAGATCTGAGGATCACAGTTCAAAGCCAGCCCAGGCAGGAAACTCAGACACCCTTATCTCCAAACCACCAGAAAACTGGAAGTGGTGATGTGGCTCAAGTGGTAGAGCTCTAGCATTGAGCTGAAGAGCTGAGGGACAGCACCCAGGCCCAGAGTTCAAGCCCTATGATAGACAAAAAAACCAAAAAACAATCCATTGCCAATTTGTTTATTTAATGGTTACTGCTTATTTAGCATCATGAAATCTAATACTGTTCTCATTAACCGCAAAACTAATAACGTGAACACTACAGTAGATTTTTATATATCTCAAATGACTTAAACGGAATTTTAAGAGAATTTCTTTAATGTGTTAAAGGAAATTTTTATTAATCAAAGAAAAACATGCAGTGTTCATAGATGACTTTCTAGGGAGGAAAAGGACTAATAAATATAAAAATATGGCCATTATAGGAAAATGCAAATTAAAAACATAGGCATACTTTGATGGTTTGGGCAGTTGAAAATAGACACTGCAAAGGACTTAAAGAAAGGGGAACTCTCTGTAGGTGTGGTTGTCTTTTTTAGGAGCAACTTTATAATCATGGCTAAGGATTTCCCTAGCCTCTCATTTAAGGGCTGCTTGGAGCCATGGACCACAGGAATGCTTTCTTGGCCTTTTCTACGGTGTTCTCCAGTTCCAGAGGCCCTGCCCTGCAGTCTTAAACTTACCACCTGGTCATTTGTGATAATGAGTTTTGTTCATACAGTTCAAGAAACAATATTGGTTAAAAACAAATTGGTAAAAATGAATACAGAAAAGCCTGGTGCTGGTGGCACACACCTATAATCTTAGCTACTCAAGAGGTTAAGATCTGAGGATTGTGGTTCAAAGCCAGTCCAGGCAGGAAAGTCCGTGAGACTCTCTATTTCCAGTAAACCACCAGAAAACCGGAAGTATTGTATGGCTTAAGTGGTGGAGTGCTATCCTTGAACTGAAGAGCTGAGGGACAGCCTCTAGGCCCTGATTGAATAACAACAAAAAGGAATACAGAAGTCAATATAGAAAGCTGTATGCAGCTGTGTTACTCAGTTAAAATTTCTTTTTCCGGGGGCTAGTTTTGGGGTTTGAACCCAGGGCCTGGAGCTTGCTAAGCAAACACTACTATTGGAACCATATCCCCAACCTACAAAATACTTTTTTGTTTTGGAATATTTATTAGTCTTTATTAAAGTAACTTAATATGTAACAGGCTGCCATTGTAATCTGTAAATGAATTGTGTATTTTTTTTTCTTTTGGTTAGTTGTGGGACTTGAACTCTGGGCCTGGGCGCTGTCCCTCAGCTTAAGGCTAGTGCTCTACCGCTTGAACCACAGTGCCACACTTTGGGTTTTCCCAGCGATTTATTGGAGATAAGAAAGAGTCTCACAGACTTTTGAGACTGGGCTGGCTTTGAACTGATCTCAGATCTCAGCCTCCTGAGTAGCTAGGATTATAGGTATGAGCCACCGGTGCCCCCCTCAATTGTGTATTTTTAAATTTAAAACTTAGTTTTTAAATTTGATTTTATTTCGGTTTGTTTTTATTTTATTTATTTATTTATTTGTTGGGTGCTGGTACCGGGGCTAGAACTTTGAACTTGGTGCTCTCAGGGCTCTCCCCCTGGGTTTGTACTCTACCAGCTGTGAGCCATACCTTCTGTTTTCTTCTGGGTTATTAGATATAAGAGTGTCTGGAACTTGTATGCTCTGAACTGTGATCCTTAGTGCTCAGCCTGCTGAGTAGCTAGGATTTTATCTATCTTACCTATTTTTGACCTGGTCCTATGTCTTGAACTCATGGCCTGAGTACTGTTTCTAAGCTTCTTTCGGCTCAAGGCTAGCACAGTACCACTTGAGCCATAGTACCACTTCTGGTTGTTTCTTAGTGGTTTAGTGGTGATCAGTCTTACAGACTTTGCTGCCAGGGCTGCCTACTAACCTACACCCTCAGATCTCAGCCTCCTGATTAGCATTATAGGTGTGAGCTACCAGCACTGGGCTTGGATTTTAATTTTTAATGAGACATAAGCTTCCCCTATATAAAGAAAAGCTTTTGAAGCCTTCAGTTTTTATAAGAATGTAAAAGATTTTGAGAACAAAAAGGCAGGAGAATTTTGCCTTTAAAATGTGTCCAAGGAAAATTGTATAAATTTTTTCTGTTTTAGAGTTTATAAGATAAAAGCTTTGTGGGCAGCTGCGTCATTATTTCTTATCAAAGCAGTGTTGAAGGTGTTTTATTCCCTTAGTACAGCACTTCCTTTGAGTGAAGAGTGTGAGGTGGAGGTGGGTGAGTTTGCCTCAGTATGTGTTAAAGTGAGTCACATGGTGTGTCAACACAGCGTGATTGTTTCTGTGTGAGTTGAGTGCAAATCAACAGCCTGGCTGAGTACCACACATGCGTATGCTTGAGCCTGAGTGGGTTACTTTTGAATTATTTTGAGTTTTGAGATTTCGCATATATTTCCCGGTTGGATATTCCTAATTTCAAAACGAAAAAATCCCAAATGTTCTCAGATGTGAAGCTAATGAGATTTTCATGAATATGTACATGCCCTTGTACTGGGTATTAAACACTGTACAACAATATGTACGGTGAAAAACTAACCAGATTAATTGTATTCAGTGTCTAGCTTGCCATTTGCTCTTTCCCAGCTATTCCTTAACATGTCTTGCTTGCTGTTTTGTTTTTTTTTTTTTTGAGCAGGTTCAGTCTTGTCTGTCCATAATGTTTGAATGTGGTTGGTTATCTCTAAAATTTCGCTTCTAGGACTTCATGTTTGATAGGTAACTTGATGAAGGAGATTGGCAGTTGTAGTTGATTTGGTAGATTTGCTTCTTTTTGGTGTCATTTAGTTTGTTCTATAAATGCTGTCATTCTTTTAAACTGGATGTGAGCTCTAAGAGTTGGTTAGACTTGAAGTCGAAGTCGAACATTTTGTGGGACATATCAGTATAGGTGTGTTAATAGGCGTCTCATCATCAGCCCCATTAGATTGGTTCTTGTGTTACTTTAGGATGGGTGACAGCCTTCTCTTTCTTCACTTAGTGCTTAGACTATAATCTCTCCGTGTTCCTTATGTTGGAGTGTTTTTCATATCATACCATTGAATACTGCCATCATTAGTAATGCTTCCATTTCTTCTATATTTAGTTTATAAGCTGACATTTTTCTACAAAGTGTTGTCTATACAAAAAAACCATTCCAGAATGGCTTTTTTTGTTGTTGTTGCTGGTTGTAGGGCTTGAACTCTGGCCCTGAGTGCTGTCCCTCAGCTCTTCAGCTCAAGGCTAGTGCTCTACCACTTGAGCTACAGTGCTACTTCCGGTTTTCTGGTGGTTTATTAGAGATAAGAGTTTCACAGACTTTTCCTGCCCTGGCTGGCTTTGAACCATGATTCTCAGATCTCAGCCTCCTGAGTAACTAGGATTACAGGTGTGAGCCATTGGCGCCCGGCTGGCTTAGTATTTTAAGATGAGATTTTACAAGGCTTTTGTACATATTTGAGGTCAGTTATATATGTGTGTGTTAGGGAGAAGGAGAGAGAGAGGGAGAAAGAGGGAGAGGGAGAGGGAGAAAATATGAACTCAGATCTGGGTATTTTGACCCTTAGCATTTTTATGCAAGGCTAGTGTTCTACCACTTCAGCCACAGCTCCATTTATGGCTTTTTGGTGCATTTTTATTGTGTTTCCTACCCAGACTAGCTTAAAACTGCATCCTCAGATCTTAATCTCCCGAGGGGCTAGAATTAACAGCATGAACCACTGGCACTGCCCTTCAGAGATAGCTTAAAGATAATAAATAAAAATTTCTGCATAGCAAAGTACATAGCTAGCAAGCTAAAAAGAAAACTCATAGAATGGGAGAAGGTTTTTATTATCATCTGACAAGGACCTAATATTCAGAATATACTTAGAGCTCCAAAAATTAAACCCTCAAATAACAACCCAATTAATAAATGGGCTAATGACTTAAAGAGAGACTTCTCAGAAGAAGTGAAAATGGCTAATAGACACATGAAGAGATGCTCAACATCTTGGCCATAAAGGGAATGCAAATCAAAACAAAATATCCCAGTTGGAATGGCCGTTATTAAGAAAGCACATAATAACAAATGCTAGCAAGGATTCCACCAAAAGGGAACATTAATACTCTTGGTGGGAATGTAAACTTGTTCCTCCACTCTGGAAAGCAGTATGGAGATTCCTCAAAAAACTAAACATAGAATTACGCTAGTACCCAGCAGTTCTACTCCTGAGCATTTATCTAGTAGGTCACAAACAAGGTTACAGTAAAAGCCACTAGCCACAACCATGTTCATTCAGTGTAGCTTCAGTATGGAGTCAGCCCAGATCCTCACTGGGGGAATGGATCAAGACAATGTGGTATGTATATATACACAATGGAATTTTACTCCTCCATTAGAAAGAATGATCTTGTACCATAAATAAGGAACTGGGAAGATTTGAAAAAATTATATTAAATAAAGCAAGTCAGGCTCAGGGAAACAAAGGTTCCATGTTTTCCCTCATTTGTGGTAGCTAGAATCTGCGTTGTGCAACTGGTTAAAAGTGAATTAACGGAAGTATAATAGACTATGGTGAGAGAGCTCTAATATATTAAAAAGACTAGGTCAAGTCCCTACACAATCAGCACCATCAGGGATGGGGCAGAAAAATGTAGGGGGAAAGTGGAGGATGGGGGAGAATGGAGTCAAGAATTTGTTCTGTATAACACAAAATTAAGAAAAATAAGGGGGGAGTTTGAACAGCTAAGAATATTGAAAAGGGCGACACTAATCTGGTTACATTGTATTCATAAACTGCTTTGTTAAATGGCATCTCCTTTGTACAACTGCTTAAAGATAATTAATGTATTTTTCTACATAATCGGGCATAGTATGATCCCAGTATACACACACACACATACATACATACATACATACATACTAGTGTTATTGCCACTGTGCTTCCTGGGCAAGCACTCTACTACTTTAGCCATGCCATAGCCCCTTTTGTTTTAGCTGTTTTTGGCATGGGGTTTTGTGCTTTTGCCAGAGACAGCCTTAAACTGCAATCTGTCTGCTTATGCCTTCTGTATAACTGAGATTACAGGTGTTTTTCATGGTGTCTGATTTCTTTATTTTTTTGTCGGTCGTGGGGCTTGAACTCTGGGCTTGGGCGCTGTCCCTCAGCTCTTCAGCTCAAGGCGAGCGCTCTACCACTTGAGCTACAGCGCCACTTCCGGTTTTCTGGTGGTTTATTGGAGATAGGAGTCTCACGGCCTCTCCTGCCCGGGCTGGCTTTGAACCGCGATCCTCAGATCTCAGCCTCCTGAGTAGCTAGGATTACAGGCGTGAGCCACCAGCGCCCGGCTGATTTATTTCTTGATAGTGGATCTTGCCAATTTGTTTTTGCCTAGGGTGGTGCCAAGCTTCCGTTGGTATCTGAGATTCAATTGTGAGCCACCATGACTAATTTGTGTTTCATCTTGTGTGCACAGTAGCTCAGTATAAATACTATACTATCTCTGGAAGTAAACTCAACCATTTCTGGTGCTACTTTTGTTTTCAGGGATGTGATTTCTTCTTTGTTCAGGAAATTAAGTAAGACTGATTTTTCTCCTCCCCTTACAGAATCATCTGACGAGGAGTCTGATGATGAAATTGCAGATAAGGATTCTGATGTGAGTAATTTGTTTCCTGGTTCATAAGTCTTTCTTTATATCCCCATTGGCTGCACAAATAAGCCCTTCACAATGCTTTCCTGTTTCGTTATTTCTATCAGGATGATTGGGATGAAGAGGAGGAGGAGGAGAAAGAAAGTGGGAAGGATGAAGAGGCAGATGAAGAGGAAGAAGAGGATGTTCAAGAAAAAGATGAAAATGGTGAGGACAGAGAGATGGCAAGTGAAAAAGAATTCAATGGAGAGTCTGACTTAGATCCAGAGAACGAAAGTGAAGAGGAGTGAAAATAGAGATGGCCATGAAGCTGTGAACCAGCTCAACCTTGCTCGCGCTGCCAACCCTCCTGGGGAGGGCTGCCTGTGCCAGGAGGCCAAAGACCACGCACGTTTCCGCCTTCACAGTGGTGATCCTGCCACCTTGCTGTCCTGAGTGCCCCGCATTCTAACTGTGTAAATAAGAGTGTTTCAGTCAATGTTAATAAACTTTACACAGTAAATAGACACATTTTCTGCAATGTACTGACATGATTGTCCGATACATGGTCTATTTTTATACTCTAATACCCTGGTATGGTTGGTTCTGTGAGGAATGGACTTGAGTGGAGATGGATGTCCTGTGGGGTTCACGGACTGGACGTGTGTGGCGGAACCGGCACTCTTCTCAGGTTGGTGTCGTTCATCAAGTCCAGCTGTGAAGCAACACTAGTGAGCTTTTCAATTTGGCACATTTAGTTTATAACATTTTCATAAAATAGGAATAACTGAAAACTGGAGCAAAAACGATGGGATGAAAAAAATCCACCAGTGCCCCTAGCCTGTCTAGTAACTGGCAATCTGACCTGGGTCAGAGTCAGTATCTGGAGTGCTTCCCAAAAATAACCACTTATTTTTTAACTGTCATGTGAGATATTTTTTTAGACAAAATTTAAAAAATTATGGTAATGAATGAACTGAAGATTTTGCCATATTAAGGGATTTCTTATTTGCAACTTGCCTGTAAGAATCATTAGTGTATAGATTTAAAGTGCTCATTACCTGCAACTTTTTAAAAAACTCAGTCACAGCTGCTTTTGAAGAGGTTCATTTTTATTTAAATTACTAATGGATCAAAGAACAATTGTTTATTTTTCTCTTTGGTTTTAGATATTAATGATAACCTTGTTGGAATTTTTTCCAAAGAAAATATTTTTATAATTCAGTAATTTAATGTTTTTCATTTTCATTACCCACTCTTGGCAGTGTTAGGGTATCTGTTTAAGATAATAAATCTTACTTAAGACTTGATGTATGTATAATAAGTATTTTGGTGTGCTATGAAAGCTTTTTCAAATGATGAGTCATTTTCTTTGTTTTTAAAGAATGGGCTTGGTATTTTACATACTACTCACTAGGGATATACAGATGGAAGCTCACCTCCAAGGAAGGGCTGGGCAGATGGATTTATTTTTCCCACCTGTGAATATGTAAAACCAAACTGTTATCTCCAAGGGACTTTGTAACATCAGTGGTAGAGCAGACTTCTGTGCTCACCTCCTAGAGCTGAGCCACAGAGCGGCCCGCCGAGCAGTGTGAGCTTGAGCTGGCTGCTGGTGCAATGTACAGTTGTCTTTGTCTATATGGAACTGTTGTGGCAAATTTAATACCATTCTCTTTGTAAAGTGAATAAATACACATCTCTATTCCTTGCTTGTCTGTGGTATCTGTAGACCAATGCAACCACATATTTGGGCCTAGGGAAGTGAAGCCTTTTTAAAAAGTGGCTTTACTCCTTTAGCATTCATGGGTAAATGCTACATTATGAATGAACCAAGAACTTTGTCTTAATTTAGTGTTGTACCTGGTTTTGTCAGGCAGCCTGCTTGGTTGGGCTGTGACTCTTCATGGTAAGATCTGCCCGGGAAGGCCCCTGTGTGAACAGGAGGCTGAGTCACATTCCCTAACCCTTGGTCTACTAAAGAGCAATAACTCCAGCAGTTTGCTAGTCATGGGTATTTTTTCTAGTTCTAATTTACACGCAAGTTTTATGTATTTGTTGAGTTCAACTTTCTAGGCCTTTTTTTTTTTTTAATGAAGCTGGTTATTACTTCCCTCTTTTTTAAAAAACTCATTTCTTAACCATGATCAAGTGAATGATCACTGTATTTAGTTGTCATTTATTAAGTCAAGACTATTTGTCTTCACTGTGTGTATTAATTTAAAGGAGTGCATAAGTTAACCTGTGTTGTCTATTTACAAGTAGATTCTGGTCTAAATGTTTTTGCAAAGATCTGAAACAGATGGTTGTATTTGAGAAGGTTTAAATTCCTTGAGTAAAGATGAGCATGTTGAGCATATGAATGTGTTTCGATGGAAGCAGAAGTCAGGGATTCAGGCTTGGGGCCTTGAAACCTTAATGCAGAGGGGTGTTTGAAGGTCAGAAATACTATCTTGAGAGCAGAAGAGTCTGGGCACTGATTTGTGAAATGTTAAACTAATTCCTGGAAGCATAATTCCACATTTATGAATTCTACATTCATGCTGTGGATGCTTAGCAAAAATGTCTTTGGTTAGTGTAAATGTTCTCAGGGTGTGGCCCCCGCAGGTTGGCACTTTGGGAAGGCACTGAGAGCTGGTGTCCAGAAGGATCCTTGGTCCTTGGACATGCTCCGCTTGGCTTATGGAGTGAGGTTTGCAGCTTCTCGTGTGTGGAAGGCTGAGTGTAGCACTGGGGCCTCTAAGTGGACAAGCCCAAATACAAGTTCTCTCTATGTCAGTTGCCTCTATCATCCATTGTAAAGAAGGTCACCCGCTAGTGTGCACTAGCAGTGCACTCACTGCTTCCGCAAAGCTGACATCCCAGGAAACGAGTGATTAGGCTTTTGTGTAGTGGGTAGGGATGCGTAGGTGGCAGGCTTAACATGCAAATATAGACCAGGAGGCTGCTTGAGTCCCCTAAGTAGCTTTGTGGGAAAGAATTAGGTAGAGGAGACAGCCTGAGCACAGGCTTGAGGCTTGCAGTGCATGTCTGACATGATGTGGGAGAGACAGTGAGAAACGATGCATTGAGAGATCAGATCAGGAGTGGGTGAGCAGTAGGGTTGCATAGCCCCTGTAGACCATTCGTAGGCAAGGACTGATGAATTTGGCATTCCCTGTGGTAAAGTAAGGATGGCACCCGAGGTAAAACGTTTTGCAGTAATCCCTGGGAGTAAGGATAGTGTAACGAGTTAGGACTGTAGTGATGGAGTTGATTTGGGGGGTTTTAAAGTTAGACTTAATGGGGCTCCACAGGTCAGGAAGCCTGTGCCCAGGACAGTGGGTGGTCTCCCCTCCCCCCTGGCTGTGGCTTCACATGTGCCTGGTCTTAAGTCCTCCCTCACACTCACAAGACAATGTGTTGGAATCTGCATCTCCTCAGGAATCACTTAAAGCTGTTCTAGCATTTTAGGGGCTCTGGGCAGCACCCGTATATAGGTCAGGAGCTAGCAGTCTGGTGTTGCCATAGATAGAACTTTAAGCCAGTGAACTTACCAAGGGAGTGGTAGAAATGAGCCCAAGGCCTGGCCCCTTGGAAGAGGAGAAACCTGGGGGACACTATGGAGGGACAGTGAGGTAGGAGTTGTTGACATTTCTCATTCCCTTGGGATTTGAGTTGTGATGTTGTTCAGCTGTGGGAACCTGCCTAGGCAGTCAGGGTTTCCCCTTCCAGTGTAGTCCACAGGTGTCAAATTCAGTTTTCTTCAGTTGCAGTGGTCTCGGTTCTGATGAAATTGTATAGCATGTCACAAAATGGAACAATAGGCCACCACAGTGACGTGGACTAAAAGGCTTTAGTCAGTCTTAGGAAAATGGAGGAGAGCATGGGAGATCTCTGAGAGATTGTATGTCTTGGTGTGTGTATTTACCATAGAAAAACACCTTTGTGGGAGCAGAATATGAATGTTGTTTGCTACATAGGAAACCCTCACACCTAGTTTTACAAATGGCAGAGGGGCTTGAAGCAGAGTGTGGCACCACAGTAAGAAACGAATGGCATGGTCTTCATCCTGATGCTGAGGACAGCTGTAGGCTGACCTTGGCTTCAGTATGGGCTGGGCTAGGGCCTTGTCACATTGACAAGTGGGACCCAGGTGGTAGGTCTCCTCAGACTAGTTTGCTTGTGACCACAGGTACCACAATAGGAAAGTGGCACTTAAGGAACCAGAAATGGATTCAGCCACACTTTGGCCTTGTTAATTATGCTCAATCTGTTGAAATCCCTAGCTTTTCATTGAGAGAAATATACATAACAATACTAGCATTTTATGTATTTTGGGGTGTGTGTTCTGTGTCGTCAATTGCACTCGGTAGATTGGTGCAGGAAGTGGAAGGTGGGCCGGCAGGAGAACCCTCAGTTTGGTGGGAAGAGACTAGATTCAGGGCCAGAGGCTGGAATACGTAGCCACACTGCCGTGTGGCAGTGATCAGTCTATATAATTCCCTCCTTGAGTGTGACAGGAGGTAACGACGGTGTCACATGGCTTAAGGATGCTGAAAACAAGCACAGTTTTAACTGTAGGGATCCTTTGAACATCAAAGTAAGACTTCTAAGGATATGTTCAGATCAATTAATTGTTAGACAGTTTCCCACTATGGGACGTGAGAGCGTGGCCTGAGTTCTAAGGGAAATTTGGCTGTCTCTGCCATGCTAAATGCAGTCAGCCCTAAAGGTGAATTTAAGATCTTTTTCCTTTAATGAATTTTTATAATCTTTTGTCTTTGAAATTTATGACACGTAACTGAAACCATTCTAGAAAAGACTGAAAGATAAAAAAGTCATGACAGATCATTGTTCTTAGTATTTTACCACCTTTTAATCTTCTCATTTGCATGTGTACACACATTTAAGAAGTTAGAATAAGGTTTTTTTTTTATCACCACACACTACTATATTTTAAAGTTACAATGTTTGGTTCTTAGTATTTCACATGTTATACACTTTAGATATCTTTATTTGATACAGTGCTACAGTGAACTTTTTTTTTTTTTTTGGTCGTGGGGCTTGAACTCGGCCTGGGCACTATCCCTCAGCTCTTCAGCTCCACACTAGTACTCTACTACTTGAGCCACAGTGCCACTTCCGGTTTTCTAAGTAGTTTGGAGATAAGAGTCTCATGGACTTTTGTGCCTAGGCTGGCATGAGCCACTGACGCCCAGCTACAGTGAACATTTGGAGACATTCTTTCTTTCTTTCTTTCTTTTGGAGACTTTCCCTCCCTCCCTCTCTCCCTTCCTCCCTTCCTCCCTTCCTTCCTGTCTCTCTCTTTCCTTTTCTCTCTCTCTCTCTTTCTTTCTCCCATGCCCTCCCCTCCTCTCCCCTCCTCTTCCCTCCCCTCTCTTCCCTTCCCTTCCCTTCCCCTCTCCTCCCCTTTCTTTCCTTTCCTTTCCTTTCTTTTGTCAGTTGTGGGGCTTGAACTCCGGGGCTGGGCATTGTCCCTGAGCTCTTCAGCTCAAGGCGAGTGTTCTACCACAGTGCCACTTCTGGTTTTCTGGTGGTTTATTGGAGATAAGAGTCTCACTGACTTTCCTGCCTGGGCTGGCTTTGAACTATGATCCTTAGATCTCAGCCTCCTGAGTAGGTTGGATTACAGATGTGAGCCACTGGCTCCAGGCTATATTTTTCTTAAACTGTACAGGAGACTTCTTGGCGATGTATTACTGTGTAAAATGACGTGAGGATTCTTCTATGAGCCAAGAAATATGCCCTGGTCACTTCACAGAGAGGTTTCTCATTTTCAAAACCAGAGTGTACTTATTTCCATTTCATCATGAGTCTCAGTTCACCTGCTTTATATTGTCATTTGAGGTTGTTCAGTGAATTGTGGGTTTAGATCCTTGTCTATCTTTACAGGGATTTCCTGTCTTACTATTAATTCTTGAGATTCATCCTTCATTATAATTCATTATATATATGTATATATATTGTGTGTGTGTGTGTGTGTGTGTGTGTGTGTGCCTGAGCACACACATATGCGGGCCTGCATGTGCACCAGTCTCGGGGTTTGAACTTAGGCTCTGGGCTCTGTCCCTGAACTTTTGTAGTCAAAGCTAACATTCTACCACTTGAGCCACAGGTACATCTGACTCTGGTGGCTAATTGGAGGAAGCGTCTCACAGGCTTTCCTGTCCCAGCTGGCTTCGAACTATAATCCTCAGATCTCAGTCTCCTGGGTAGCTAGAATTACGGACATGAGCTAGTGGCACCCAGCCACAAACATTCTTTTTAAATAGTAAAAATTTATCTTTTAAGTAGTTGTACAAAGGGGTTTCTCTTCAACATCAGTTTATGCGCACAATATGTCTCGATCACTGTCACCCCTTTTTCAGTTTCTCCCGTCTCTTCCAATTTTACCTATCCCCTCAAGTTACCTGGTTCCATTTTCATCTATGTCCATTGAATATTATGATATATTTGCCCACCCTTCCTCTCTCCATTCATCTACTGTTCCTCCCCTTGACCTCCTTCCCCCATGTTTCGGCTTCCCTGGTGTTCATTTTGCTAAACTGTAAGTTCAAAGGAGTTATGCCATTAGAATCCCCTTGTGTATATACTATAGTCAATTTGTGTGAGTATGCATATGATACAGAATATATTTTCATATATGTTTATAATTCAAGTGTAACTTCTACATCTAAAACATGTGTCCTTTGTCTCTGAGCC